CAGAAGCTGTGTTTTGAGTAGGAGAAACATACTCACCAAATACATTAACTGCTCACTGAACGTTTAGGAATCAAAACACTTTGGAAAGTGTTCAGGACTATAGATTATGGTTTCAAATTTAAAAATTGATACACATTTTCAGCTTCATCCATTACTGAAACAAGAACTATGCTACCACATTAGAGTATGAGCAGTTTTACATAATTGCGAGACAGTTATTCTCTTCCACAAGTGGGTCATGGAAAATATAAAAGTCTTTATTTTCTCTTTTTGTGATAATGTTTAGCAACTCTGAAAGTTGTTTCTTTGCACTACATTTGAAGGAATGAAGGACTGTTAACTGTTCAACAGTAGTAATGAGATTGAATTTGATATAAAGAGAAGCTCAGTCCTTCATTTTACATTGTTTAGGAGAAATGTGAATGTGCCATGGATGATACTGATAAAAATGGCTGAAGAACTTCAGTTTGAAAGCCTTTCAGTCAAGGCATTTGTTAAAACATTGCATTGTATTTATCATGCTGAAATACAAGAAGGTAACAATGCTACTATTCTTCTTAATGCAAGCCTAATAACACTTGAGAAAAAACTAAGTGCTAATATGACAGTTGGTGTAACAAAACATTTTGCTGAGAACATTCATATTATCAAGTGATGTCAGATTTTGTTAAATTGAGAACTAAATGTGCATTAAAAAAAGTCCTTGAGCTTTTGTGAACTGGAGACAAGAGATGTATAAATTTAACTTAAAAAATATACTGGATATTTATGTGATAACGGTCCAGACTAGTACAGTGAAGTTTGAACTGCTAATTTCTGGAACTAAAAGTTGGATTTACTACACTTTGATGTAGAGAATTCTTAGGGAGAGAACTGCTAACAGTCATATACTTTCCTCAAAATGGAACAGTCCACAGGGATTGGTATGGTAGTATTAAACTAAATGATACAAATATTTAGCTGAATTTGACAACTAGTATCCTTATGGAATATGAAATAATTTGTGTGACTGTTACTAATATTGTGTAATTACTTTTATAAAGTAGAATCTCTAAATCTTCTTTTAAGTATCTTTAGCTTGAGTTGACTTTTGAAAACAGCTTTTAACAAAAACTGTAAATTGTTTAAAAATCAGAAAATGCAGGTTAATTAACATTTCATTGAAGTATTTCAGCATGCTTTGTATCATCTACATTAATTGATACTTTGGCCTGAATCTTCCTTTAAACATAAGCTTTCATTAACTAGCGCATTTCAAAACATAGTAGTCCTTATTTTACATCTCTTTTCTGTTCTGAAATGTAGACTATAATTGTCGCTTTAATACATTAAGATTCCAGTTTCCAAAATGATGCATTTGAAGCATCAGGAAAAGTTGGAGACTTCCTGTTTTTCTCCTTTGGCTTCATCTATTCTGCACTAACTAAACTGGTCAGTTTGGTAGGTTCCACAGCAGGAGTGTAACGAGCCTCTTCCCACTCTAGTCTGCTTGAGTGCTCTTTTCATTTTCATCGCTGTGAAAAAGTTGGTACTTCTTAAATTTTGTCAAAGACAACATTTTGGATTTTTTTTTCCATTCTTAAACTGTTACGTGATCTGTTATATCCTCTTTAAGAAGCGTGTTAGTATATAGTTCTGAAGGATACCTGCTGTACTTTCTTTTGGAAATCTGAATATTGATGTGCAATAGCCAGAACATATTAATGAAGGTACTTTTTAGATCAAGCCAGCTTTTAAACCAGTAAATGTGATTGTCACACTCAGCCTTATCATTTTAAGGTAGCAGGTCAAGTTTCAGTCAATCAAGACTGATTTAACAGGTTGCTATATGGCTATACATGCCTCAGGAAAAGCGCGTCCTTAGATTAGTATTAGTTGTTGCTAAAATATTTTGATTTTTCATTTGTGGGTTGTTTTTCTGCTTCAGTTCAAATCATCCCAGTTCTGTAAATCATCTGGCAAAATCTTTACATCTAAAGTGCCTTGATTCTTCAGGTTTGAGATATGCCTTCTTGAATTTTTTAAATCCTTCCTGTAAGACACGCATTATATTGGTACTTGAAACATCCCGGTAGTCATTATTAAAAATGCATTAGCCAGTGTAGAAAGAGCAGAATTACTTTCTTCTAAAACATAGGTTGCTCCAAAAGTAATGCCTTCTGTTTATATCAGTGGAAACTACAACAGATACAAAGAGAACAATAATACTATGTGGTAGAACCAGTTCTCAGCTACAAAACTCTATTTCTCAACAAAGTCTACCATTAGCTATGCATTTTCATAAGCAATGATTAAGAGCCTGTATGCCATAGTCATAAAAAAAAAAAAAAGCAGCAGCAAAGGTGATTTTCCCCCCTCCCTTTCACAACTGCTGTGATGACATTATTGCTAGGAAAACATTGCCCATGTAGTCCATCTTTTATTGGCCTAAACAGGTGGAAGTCAGGAGGTGCCAAATCTGGACTATACTGTTAGTATGGTAGGACTGTCCAGCCAAGACTTGGCAATATGCTCTGTGGTTGTCAAACTGGTATGGGGCCTGACATTATTGTATTGTAAGTGAGAGGTTGTCTTCTCTGGCCTGACTCTGGAAGCTTGAGCCTTCAGCTTAGTCAGTGGTGTGGCGTTGCAGTCAAAGTTGATGAATTTCAGGGAATCTAGAAGGCTCACTCTTTTCCTATTCTAAAAGACAGTACACATCACTTTACTCACTGAAGGCTGCTTCTTGAACATTTTCTTTGATGGGGAATTTGATGGGGAATTCACATCACCACTCTGCAGACTGCTGTTTTGAATCTGGTTAATAGTGGTGACCCTATGTCTTGTCACTAGCAATGATGTGATCCAGAAAACTGTCACCTTCAGCCTTGTGTTGGTTCAGTAGGTCCTGAAAAACTTGGATGTGGTGTTCTTTCTGTTCCTATGTCAGCATCTGTGGGACCCACCTAGCACAAGACTTGCAATGTTCCAACATTGCCACCATAGTTTCTGATGCCTTGAAGCCAATGTTCATACAGTCTCCTGGCAATCTGCTAATTAACAGATGAGCTGATTGAGACACTCGTTAATTTTTTGGTATAACAGCTGCACATGACTGGAATGTGGCTTGTCTTTCACATAGCTGTTTCCACTGCTGAAACGCACCACCCACTACATCACCGTGCTCACATCAACTATTTGGTGTCCATAGACATTTAGTAAGCATCAGTGGATGTCACTGGGTGCCATTTTTCCACATGGAGGAATTCATTTCCACACCTTTGCTACATCTGACACTTCCATGTCAGATGCCATTTTGTCAGACTGCCCCTCTGCTACTGTCTGCTACATGACAACAAAATGCAATGAAATACTGATGGGAAGGTTCAGGCTCTACTACCATACAACCACCATCTGCCTCTGATGTTTGGGCAAACATAATAAAATAGGAGACATCATTTTCAGAGCAGCCTTTGTATAAAACATAACATACTGGCTTTATTCTTTGACTTTTTTTTGGTAAAGATGTAAAGAAGCAGTGTTCTGTAATCAACAGGACTTGGTCTTGATGTATGAGGTTAATAAAAATGGTTCTGCTATACTTTGAAAGCTTGGTAAAGTCTGTCCATATCCCTAAATATTGCAATATAAATATTCCAGCACAGCACCTCAATCTGATACTTTGATTGAATCTCTGGAATGTTACTCATTTATAATAGATGCCAGATATTTTTAATAAGCTTTGTGGGGGAAAAAAAGCCTTTTCTTTGTAAGTATATAATTGACAATTGTTGGTCTAGTGTTTGTGTTTTCTCTAAATTTTGGATTGGCTTTTGATTGTCATGTGTAAGGTGGTGTTTGCCCCCTTTTGTTGGGGTCAATACTTTTTCAGTGTGTTGAAAAAAGATACGATTTAGGACAACTTCTAAAAGCTTTTAGGCCAAGCTTGGCATATCTGACTTGGTATTTCTGACTTGGTATGCTGCGTGCCATCTTTGCTCTCTATTATTCACTTAGAATATGTTCCTCCTTAATCTTTTTTGACAAAGAAGCATTTTTGTCCAGAGAGTCAGAAGGAAGAGTATATTGTTTTAGTCCCTGCAACTGTCTTGTCTTACATAGTTGTTGAACAAATCTGTATCCTTTTAAGTGTAAAATGATTGTGTTATACTGAGAGTCTAATGTGTATTTTTCTAATGCCTTGATGTATTTTTAGGCCATTTTTCACTTGTCATTAGAATGACCTCTCAACATCAACTTTAAGACAGTAATCTTTATTTTTTGTGTCTGAAATTCAACTTCCGTTGTTCATTAAAGATCACAATGGAAGACTGTGTTTGGAACAAGTTATTGTTGGCTTTGGCAACAGTGATTTTCAAAGTCATACTTTATTAGAAGCCTGTATGTTCTTAAATTGCTTTATAATCCTCTGACTTTAACTCGTGAGGTTTATAGACCGTACTGTTTGAAATGAAAAGCACCGAATAAAAGGCAAAACATAATGTGTTGGAATTTGCAGCTAATGCTGCGACTTCATTCTCATAAAGAGAGTAGTACAGTTTTCTGTAGCCATTACTTCAGATCTTTACATATGACTTGTGTAGAAGGTGAGGAAGAATCCCTTTGATTATATTATTGATTATATTTGATTATTGATATATTGATTATTTGAATATTGATTATGTTATTTTATTATATTGTGTTTTTTAAGACCAATTGATTGTTAGATGCACTTACGCACACATCCTGTAACCGGTACAGGATGTAGGCCTTTTCACTTCCTAAAATCTTGAGTAGATGAGCAAAGGTGTAATTCAGAAAACTGTTTTCTCACAATGCAATATAATGTGTACTACTTATCTTCTGAGCTTCATTGCAAAAGTAGTGTAGAAACTTGTCAGAATCACTAGGATTACTAGAGTAAATCAACTTGGAATATGGCTTCTCTTCTGAAGGTGCAATTTTTTTATAACCGATGTGTATTTTAGTAAAGAGTTGCTGACTAGCATTTGTGTCTCTAGAGAAGAAGAGGAGCGTCTGAGAAATAAGATCCGAGCAGATCATGAAAAGGCCCTGGAAGAGGCAAAGGAGAAATTGAAGAAATCGCGTGATGAGATTCAAGCTGAGATTCAGACTGAAAAGAACAAAGTAGTGCAAGAACTGAAAAAGAAAGACAGCAAGCCACTGCCCCCTGTTCCTTTACCAAATCTTATAGGGATAAACAGTGGAGAACCAGCAGACCCAGATATTCGGGAGAAGAGGAACAAAATTAAAGAGGTAAATACAATAACTTGTATCTGGTAGCAGTTATTTATACAATATTCAGTTGTTATTACATGAAACAATATAAGAAAAATAGGACTACAGATCATCTTCATTAACAGTGAGTCAAAAGAATGAGTCAAGTATATTTTTGTTTATCAAGACATTTTGTTGCATTTTTTCTGCTGCTAAGGTTTGTATTTCTTGGGATAACAATTTAAAAAGGGATTTCTTGAATTAGGTGGTATAGGGGTCAAAGTGTCATTAACAAATGGAACAGGGACAGTGTATTTGATTTCGTCAGCTTCCATTGAAAGCATATGGTCTTTTAGTGTGTCACAAAATAAGTATTTAAAAAAGTAGATGGGAAGATAGGGAAAAAATATCCTACTTCTAAAATTTGTAAATTGCCAAGTTAGTATTTGTTTTTCAAATTAAGTTTTAAGTAACTCCGAAAAATAGGAGTTGTCTCATTTACCTGTAAAATATTCAAACTAATATGTTGGCTTAAGATTTTGATTTGGTGGCAGCCTACACCACAGAGAATACTGACTCTAATCTTATCCTTTTCACCTGTGAGACTCATTGTAATATTTTGCCTGGGCGATGCCAGTTTATTATTTACATCAGGCATTTTTCTGAGTCTGTATTTTTAATTAGTCTGGCAGAAACATCATAGGCCCTTTTTTCTATCCCCTTTGCATCCCCCCAGATCTGATTAGTTTTACGTCCCCAAGCCAGGTTTACAGAAATGTGCAGACCAGAGGTAGAGGGACACAAACTATATATGTAAAGAACATCTGGGACCACAGTTTCACTGGGTTTCGTAAGCTCATATAAATATGTCAGTCATATAGCTGTCCTAGTAATAGGGAATTACCAAAGCTGGAGTATGTGACATGCAGTGGGTAGGTCACCCAAGGTAGAATTTTACTGTGGATATTAATGATGGCTACGTGAAATACATTCTTAACAAGTAATAAGCAATTCTTTATGTCTGTGGAATGGCATCATTATTTGAACCTATAGGTAGCAAAATCCTTTCTGTAATTTTAACTGGAATTTACTGTAGTTAAATACATCTTGAGTTTGCAACTGATGTATTTAATGGGTAGAAGAATAATTTGACCAAGCACTGAACACAGAAAATGATGATGAACTGGACAAAAAAACTCTGAAGGTCAGTTAGATCAAACCTGGGACTAAAGGGAAAACAGAAAATCAGAATGGTAATCTGTATTACTGAAGTTATACAGTATAACTTTGTGAGGAGACAATTGCTTCAATTTTCTTGTTGATAACAGAAAAAAAAAAAGGGAAGTTTGAACAGTTCTTCTGATCTACACCTGGAGGTGTAACAGTTTGTCTGCATGACTTAACTCTTGTGATTCTTGCCGTGTATCTCATGCTATAGAAAAGTTTTTCTACTTTTTCTTGTTCATTTATCAGTCTAAGTGTGAAAAACATAAATGAGACTCTTTTTACTGCGTTGTTTATGGCTGCTATTGTGGCTTCTGAAAAGTGTAACTTTTATAGCCAAAGATTTCATGGAATTATGCACTAACTAGGTAAGTACTTCAGTTAGAATATCATACCTTTCTACTGAGCATTTTTCACCAGTGTGACTGTTGTGCTTGATAATTCTGGATTGTACTAGCATGACAAAGATTCTTTGTGTGAGTTGCCTTCACTGAGTCCGTCTTGATACTTATGTTGGTATCCAGTGAGGTCTAGAATTTAAGTTCTTCGATGAATGAGGTCATCAGTTCTACCCCTTCACCCATCTGACAGTAGAATATAAAAATAGAAGGCCCACTAGTCAGAATGGACAAATGGGTGCTGCTGAACCCAGTGTTGTTGCAGATTCACTTGCTTAGTGACTTCTGTACATGCTTTTTGTACATACAAGATTTTGACATCTATGTGCAGTGGATATAATATGACTGGGATAAAACATTGACAGAGTACTATTTTGCCTGAAACGTGTTTTTGATATATCAGGTGCATAACAGGTTGCTGCAGTGATTCCAGAGATAAAGTTCTACATGTTGAAATTTGCTGCCATCATTGCTGAGCTCTTGTCTCCTTGGTTTATTTTTCACAACCACTCTAGAGTAATATAAATGGTCTTTGTAGTTATGATGCAGATATAACAATGAAAAAAAATCTAGGAGACAATGTCTCCAGCATAGGTTTACATCTAGCTATGTAACACTTCTAACACACAGCATAGTTATCTGGATTAAGATGAAAAAAATTGCACAGGGAAGTGCCTTGTGCTATTAAGGCTGCTTATCAGGCTTTGAAATTCCAGGTGCTCCTGAGGAGGCAGTTGGCTCTTGCCTTGCTTTATTTTGAATTGTCCTGATACATGTTTTGTGAGCACAACATTCCTCAAACAGCTCTAGACTACCTGAATTCACAAAATGGATGAATTTATGCAGCCTGCTTCACCAAGTACCAAGTGGTGAAAATGTAGAATAGATTAGCTGATGGGAACAATTTATAACAAGCACGTGGGTATTTGCAGTTGGGAGGCAGACTAGTTTCTATCACATTTACAGATGTAAAAATGTATTGCTTTTTCTTCTGAAATACCATTTTGGTGAAGTCTTTTTTACAGATTGCTGTATAAAAAGGTTTGATTTTGCCAATACTTCTATATTTTAAAACTTTTTCTTTCAGAAAAACTTGCGTGAATTAGGATTGTGGAATGCTATTATGAGTTTTATTAAGTGTTTTGAAAGCTTTACGTAACAGGAATGTTTACTAAGCACAGAGAGGGATGCTTCTTAAGATTGTGGAATAAACTAGAAGCAGATTCTGCATCTCTTGGTCTTGAATTTTCTTGTTCAGTTCTGATATTTGTATTTAGTGTGTCACTATTCTCAGTTGGAACTAATTCAACAAAATTATATACATTTGTCTGTGTTCTAACAGTTCAGTTATTTAAATAAGGACAGTATACTGGCTCATCTTGTACAGTAACAATTTTGAGAATTAAAGTTTTTCTCAGCTACTTACCATGAAAGCTTTGTAGTACTTCTCCAGTATACTGGGTTGCTCTTCTGACTCTAAAAAAAAATTAGCATTTTTAAATCAATTAAATCAATTTAAATCAGTTTTAATAAACACATCTAAAAATGATTATTGTTGGTATACTTTAACTTTGTACTAACTGTAACTTTGTATGACAGCGATTTTTTTCATACTAATGTGAAGATTAAATGGTTTTATAAAGGGATAGATGAGACGTGTCTCATCTTTCAGAAGATTTTGAGATATCTTTTTGAGGCTAATGCAGAGAAATTAGGTATATAACTGTTAGTTTGAAAGTCACTGGCTACCTTTCAAAGTTAAATTAGACATAAATTGCGTGAGCACTAGGAGTTTGGCAAACTTAATTTCCATTATGTCCTTTGGATAGTGTTCAGAGTATTAATTTTTGCTTCAGTTAAATATAATCATTATGGATGTTATTCTGTTTTTCAATGTGTTTTGGTTCTTTGAAGAGTTTTTACTCAGTCAAATAAGGGAAATTCTTTTTCAGAATAGAATAGAGTTAAACAATCTTCAGAATTCGGGTTTCTTTCATTTCAGACTAAGGCTAATTTCACACTATTGCCTTGCTGCCAGCCTTCATTTCATATACTTGTTAAAATAGAGTATTTAATCCAAATAACCAATTCAGATTATTCTGTATATACCTTATTCTAAACAGTGAAGTGCTTATTTTGAACAAGTCCATAAATGGCAGTTCTGTGAACTGTTGAAATTATGACCATGTTAATTCTACATACGAATCTATATGTATTGTATTACATACAAGTGTTAATTTTAGAAGGATGTAAAGAATTGGGGAATGCTCATAGGAAGGTCAATAAGTGGCTGTAGATCTGGTGTTGATAACAGGGTTATGGGTTCTATGACCAGGGATTCCCATTTGCAGATGAGCATCTACCTGGGAGAGAGACTCCACTTTACTATGTGGGGTGAAGGTCTCTTTGTCAGCAAAATGGGTGACCTCAGAAGGAGGAGGAGGTAGAAAGAAAGCTACAGCAGCTCACTGAGGGTGTGATGAACAGGGTTGATTAATGAAAGGTCTGGGGCAGTGTCACAAAGAGAGATCACAGAAGTGATGAAACAGGGATTTCTAGCACTTGAATGTAAGCAAGGAAGTACGTACAAGACACTCAGGAGAAATCTCCAAAACCCTTACTGGGAAATTAGTGTGCTAAAGTGTGTCTTTGGGGTCCATGTACTTGAATGTACGCAGTGCAGTGAATAAACATGATGCAACAGTGATTTAGGTACAGGACAAGGGCTGTAGTCTCCTTGGAATCAGGGAGACATGGTTGGGTGGTACCATGAGTGGAGTGTTCCGACGGAGTTAAAAGCTGACTGGGAAGATGAAGAGGTGTAGTTTCCCTTTGTGACACAGCAATTGAAATACGTGGAGCTTTGCCTAGGGATGGATAATAAGCTAACAGACATTTTTGGTAAGGATTAAAGAGGAGATGAGGGTGATGCTGTAGCAGGTGTTATAGGCCACCTGACTGGGAAGAACAGGCAGATGAGACCACTGTAAACAGATAGGACCAGTTTCACATTTGCAGACCCTCATGGGGGATGTCAGCCAGCCTGATATAGAATAATTTAGGTTGTAAAAGACCCATCAAGATCATCAAGTCCAATTATAACATAACACTACCAAGTCCACTACTAAATGATGTTCCTAGGCATGATGTCCACATGTTTATTAGATACTCCCACAGATGGGGACCACCACTTCCCTGGCTTGTTCCAATGCCTAGCCACTCTTTCCATGAAGAAATTGACATCTAATCTAAACCTCCCCAGGCACAACTTGAGGCATTCTGTCCTGTCATTTGTCACCTGACAAGAGACTGACACTGCATTGCAACTTCCTTTCAGGTAGTTGTAAGAGGGCAAGTTCTCCCGTCAGCCTCCTTTCTTCATGCTAACCCACTAACTCCTGTGACATCTTGTTTTCT